CTGCTGATAGGCTGGCTATTTTCTTCTAAGTTGAGCACAATGATATCCTGAGATTCATGTAGAAATCATTTCAGTAAAAGCTCTGCATGGACTGCAGGACCATGTGATTTTAGTACAGTCACATCTATTTTGGACATAGGTACATTATGTGCTGGAGATGCCTAAACATATGTTGGGCATGATTCAGTTCACCTAAAACAAAGTTCTATGTGAAGTCACTGAAGAGAAGCAGGTGCATCAAAAGGTGGTTTAAAGCAGGTAACCTAGTGTATATCCTACTCCTTGCAACTTCCACCCTTTTTCAAGTAATGAATTCCTTTTCTTTCTCTCTTCTACACTGCTGCTGCATGCTGGTGACTACAGGCACCGTCTGGGTAACCTCTGGGTGCTGAGAACGTCATTGTTGATGGACTGAGGGCTTTTTTGTGGGGCAGATAACCTAATGGAGGGCTGCAGCTGTGGAGGAGGAAGCTCCTATGGGAACATCGGGGAGGCAGGGTTTGCCATCCTTGGAGCAATGTAAAATGAAATCAGGAGGCAAAATCCTGGGTGAAGTCCTCCTGTGCTTCACCTGAATCACCTGTCACAAGGACAAGTGTGACATCTGCTAAAATACCTTACAGTGCAGGCATTATAAAAATGCTTTACAGAGGATCGTATACTCCCAAGATGAGGAAAAACAAGGCATGTGACAAGAAGGTATTTTGCTGGAGTTCACCAATGGACAGGGAGCAGATCCTCTATTTCCAAAGCTTGAGCCGAGTGCCCAGAGCTTCTGCTGAAGTATGCAAGGCAGATTCTATTGGCCTTTGTATGCCGCAGCATGAAGCGTAATTGTGATTTGTACAATGTGGAGATTTCTTTCTCTGTGACATCTGCAACACCAAGCCTGTAACCTGCTTTCTGAGCAGACAACTGGGTACCGTCCAGCCCCAGCGACTAAACAGTTACAACTCTTCCGAAGTCATATAAAAATTTAGTTTCAATATGATGTAAGAAAAAAGGAAGCTCCTTCTAAATGGTTCTTGTAGCACATAATGTCATTTTCAGGTTGTCCGGATGGGGGGTTAGAGCAGTCTGCTCTGTGTTCTGCAGACCTGGTCCTGTGATCGCCAACATCAGAGATACAGCTCCCTTTTGGCTCTTGTTTTCAGTTTCCTTCCTAAGGGAATCTGGCCACAAGGGGGAAAGGGAGCACACGTCCAGGTCCCCTTTTTCCAGACATGGAAGTGTGGTACCAGGGAAATGCAGCTGGCTTCTTCCATATAAACCATCTACAGTAAACAAACACAGAAGCTGTGCTCCCTTGCCAGATAATTACATGTGGGGTTTGTAACACTGTTGAGGTATCAATTTGGTTGCGATGGGCAGCGTGTAGCAAATCCAGCCTTTTCAGCAAACCCCATGTTGCTGTTTAGAGGAGAGGTTGCAGTTGGTATTTCTATTGGAAACCCTATGTTTGCATTGATCTGAAATGGCTTTGAATTCTGTAGGCGTGGAACAGATAACTTGCCCGGTTACAGGTCTGTGGAGGAGAGGGAGTGATTTTTCTGGGAGAAAAAAACACCTATGTACTTCCAAATCCTGAAAATATTTGAAGGGAATGTGGCACTAACATTTTATGTCATCTCTTATAGAAAACTTAAGTTTTGTTTTATATTTATTAGTAAGAGTTATTTAGAGGACATTTGCTAACGTACCCAAGAGAGAGGTTATCACTACGGGAGCCAATGACATCTGCTTGGCCCTGTCCTCCTGCCTGGTAGAAGATGGACTGGGAAGTGACAGGCTCCCCTGGTGTCCTAAGCCTTCACAGTTCCCGGCATGGGAAAAGGTCGTTCATCATCCCGCTCAGCCCTTGCCCTCCCCGTTGGCTGTAGGCTTCTCTTCACCACAGATGCTGCCTCAAGCGGTCTTAGCTTCAGCAAGAACCTGGCCCCAGGTCTCTGCTGAAGCCAAGCACAGTACTGGGAGGACTGGAAATGGACTGGGAAATGTGCTTGTCATGGGTGAAACTCCTTAGAATGAGATGTGGGAGTTGAGCACTGTGGAGACTGCAGTGTGGTGCAGGTGGGTTTTATGGCTGATGCCTGCGACATGGACTGGGGAAAATACAGACATTTAGGAGGTTTAAAAGCCCCCGTACCCGGGGACACAGCAGGAGGCATCGGTGCGAGCACACGCTGCCAAACGGCGTGCCCCTCAGGGCCGGGAGGGAGCTCACAGCTTGCTAGGGCCCTTACGTCCTTTCCATGCCACAATTTTCTCCCGGCAATGCCGCCAAGGCCGCCAACTTCCACGCCGTCGCAGCTTTTGTTGAGGCGGGACACCCGGGCCTTGCGACGCTGGGTACGTGACCGCTGGCAGCTCTTTTTGGACCGGGTACGGCAAAGGCGCGGCCCAGCGGGGAGAA